TTTATAAAATCATACCTGTTCATTATTTAATGTACTACGATAATAATGCAAAAGCTATATTAAGTTGATTGCTTGTTGGTTTACCATATAATTCTTCATTTTCAGGAAACTAATTTTTTGTTTTTATGTTAAAATTAAATGTTTTTGGACATGAAAGGGTACAACATTTTTTTTTTAATTAACTAAATAGAATTTAAGAGAAAAAATATAAAAAAAAGCTAAACATTAATTAGTTATATATTTTATACATAAATATAAAATTTACTGTACTATATATACTTTACATAGATGTATAATATAATGGTAAAAATAGTGCTTTATTAAAGGTTTTAATAAACATTATTATAATTACAGTTAATATAGCTATTTAATCTGCCTTTTCGTGATGCAAAGTAATTATAAATGTATAAATCCAATCAGTCAAGAATCTGCTTGTAACTTTTATAATGATTTCACTTATCACTATGCTATCAGCAATTATAAATACAGCATAAATTAATTAAGCCTGTAATTGCTTAATTAATTTATGCTGTATTTATTAAATTGAAAGTATATAAATATCCAGTACCTAAAATAAGATTTGTGCGCTAAGTATTGTTTGGATCCGTATTTTTCAACAAAAATTTTTAATAATTGTAATAAAAATCGATTTTAGTTTATAAAACAAATATTAAATTTTTTATTTATTTTTACACATAATCAGAAAAGTCCCGAAAGACAATTGATATCTGCCTCTCCCAAGTTAACAAATTGATACAAACATAAATATAAGAAATAAAAGGAAAAAAAACAAGTAATTAAAATTAAAAAGTGTATAAATTTTATGAATATTTATTGATATCGTTAGTTATGCTAAATTTTATTTCACCTCCTACAGAACAATAATTTGCATTTGCTAATCAAATATGCTATAGGCCTACAAAATTCTATACAAAGCATTTCTTGAACCAGAATAGAATGAACAAAGAAAACTTATCTAAACAATGACTTATAGTCATATACAAATTGAAGCACAAAATATCGATGCATACTAAAGTACGTAATATATATATATGTTTATGGAATATTAAATGTATTCTACTGTGAGGTGTATTTATAAAGCAACTGAAATCCTGCACAATACACATTATACTTATATATCATTATCATTATTATTATTATTTATTAAACTAAAATAATAATTTATTATAAGTGGCTTATGATAAATACTGTATAATTAAAATATATTTATTATTCATTAATCATTTCAATATCAAATTCTACTTTATATATTTTATATTCTAAATTACAAATTTACTGTAATTTACAATACTTTTTATTAAAATAATGTAGATTTGTAATTAAGGTCTTTCATATCAGATATTGTATATCATATATTATAAATATTAAACTATATCAATACTCTTAAAGATGAACCATGCTCTGGTAGACCAACTATTTTCAATTGATAAACAAGACGTCGCTCAATTAGGGACATTATTGAACGTGTTTCGATATCATTTGGGCTTGCAACGCGTCGCTTCTCGAGTCGTCCCGAAAACATTGAAGTTTCTTCAAAAACAGAGTGTTCAAATGGCCGAGGAAATGCTTTCTCGTTCTTAAAATCGCATCATTACGGGTGACGAAACATGGTCTATGCTTTTGAAGCCAAAACAGTTCAACAATCGAGTGTATGGCAAAAGGTGAAGCAAGAGCAAAAAAAACCATGTCAAAGTCAGTCAAAACAGTGGCGTAGCGTGGGTGTCAGCCGCCCGGGGCGGAAGAAAATTTCGCCCCCTTATTTAGGTATCTCAATTTAAAAGACTAAAATTCAGTTTCGTCACAGAATAAGTAATGAAAAATTCCGTGTTAGTGTTGCCACCTTATTAAAATCGCTGACCCGGACGACAGGTGAGGTTTGCTCGAATAGAAGTTCCTGACGCATGAGTATGTCATTTTGCAATACGAAGAATAATGTGCAGTGCATGCTGGTTCTAAATCAGTTACAGTTAGCGACTAGGGAGACTTGGATAGGAGTAACGCAAGTGACCTAGCTGTATTGGATATTGGAGATGTATATATATACGAATAAATCGTACAAGAAAAAAAAAAAGGTCAACTGATTGCGCACGATATCCCCGGACGGCGAGTCGTTTCCCGGACTATCCGGATGGATGGTAACACTATTCCGTGCTCATTTCAATCGGTCCGAGTCGTAGGTGGACGAAAATATGAAATAAAATGGTTCAAATTCTTACAAGATATTATTATTATTTATTGTGAAATTTTGCCGCCCCCACTACGATACGCTACTGAGTCAAAAGTCAAGATCGTTTTAGCTGTTTTCTTCGATCGTCGTGGTATTGTGCATCACGAATTCCTTCTGAAAGGCCAAATGGTCAATAAAGAATATTATTTGAGCGTTTTGTGTCGTTTTACNCCAACGACTGACGCTTCCTGCAGGCGGGAAAAAATTCAGGGCTGTGCATGACTGTCCCCTCCACAACTCCACCGAAGGAGACCTCTCTCGCATCATTGGTTTACGCGGAAAAAAATAAGGTCCGATACTTTTTGAACAGACCTTGTATCGTGTATCCACAAACACTCCAATAAATAAATAAAATTGAAACAACACTTTGAAATGTTTTCCCGATGAAAATGAATAATAATAATAAGTTTCAATAAAAATGATAAAATGTAAATTGAATTTTATCATAACGAGTTTGCTTGAATTTCGTTTCTTCTGAGATCGCAGCAATGCGCGACGTAAATAAATAAATAAATATGTGATGTTAGATGATCGGCACGACTCTATTATTAAATTAAAGAAAAAGTATGATGTACAGGGATAAGCCACTACTTGTCCCTGTACATTGAAGTGGAGAGCATATATTTTAAATTAAATAAATTAAAAATATAATTAAAAATTGCAGCCCGGCATTGTGAAGATGTCACAATAAATAATTGCTCGTTAGTAACAATAAATTTTAAAAGAAGTCATTGCTTTAAAAGTCACACGAAAACAACGTGTTTCATTCGCTATGACTATCTTCGTGCTCTCAGCTTAACATTAACATTATTATCTGTATCATTAAGAAATATTTCAATCTTATTCTGATATGAATGACAAAATGTTAAAGTGTTTGATATTATTTCACATTCAGTAGATAAATGAGGAATGCATGTGCTGCTCCTGGATGTAATGAATCAAACAAGAAATTAAGAGAACTTGTAAAGAACCACACTACATCCGACGCACTAAAACTTGTTTTCATAAAAAGAATTTATAAAATATGTTTCTCCATTCTGGTTTTATTTCATTTTCTAAGCTAATTTATGAAAGCCTTGCTACATTCTTTTGAGTGGTATACATAATAATAAAAATATATCTACAGTAAACTCAGTTAATTGGCACTAATATTTTAAATCATATTTTGAATAAATTAATAATAATTAATATATTGTTACTTTATTAATGAAATGTAAAGCATTACAAAAAATAATTAAATAAATAATATATAGTCTAATAATTAGTAGAAACATAACATGACTTGAAACAGCAGACAGTAGTAAATATAATATCTGTAAAAATGAGATGATAGAAATATTTTACATCATATTGTCAAAATTATCCTTAAAATCAATTACAGTATTTTATTTTTATAATTATATTACTTTTAAAATACAAGTAATCTTGTAACTCACTTGTAATACATTTGGTAGGCCCTATAGATATTTGTATTAGTGTTACATGTTTGTTTATTTCTGCTATAAAATATTTTAATTAAAATGTGTTTTTAATTTAAGTTTAGACTATAAATTTCAAAAGAAATAATCGTGCACCTTTTATAATTTCTAATTTTAAAGCATAGATTTTTAAAATAAAAATATAAACCAGAAACAATCATATAATTTTAAAGTAAAAAAATGGCGAAATCATATAAATTGCTTCTTACATGCTTTTTTACTTAAAAGTAAAATGTAATATCTTAAATAATTTTTTTTTTTGTATTTTGAATGTCTTTTTAGTTTTAGTCTAAAAGTTACTACTTTTATTAATGTATGTCGTTTACTATCTCAACCAACTGGTGTGCCCGTATTAATCACTTAAGAACCACAGTAAAATTGACCTATTTTCTCGGAGTCGAATAACCTTAACTCTAATAACCCTGTCTATACTATTCAATCTCATTGAGAGTTAATTCCTCTCGTTTATGGATGTAATTGTGGTCGATTATACAGTTTACGATATGCTGATGCCCGGAATTAATTAATCAATCAATCAATTCGCAAGACATACCGTCCGTTATCCCGCTGTCTGATTTTTCTAAATAGATAAGAAATTAATAAAAAAAATTAAAAAATAATAAAAACATATTGTTGCATGAGAATTAAATTTTCATTAAGAAACTTAAAGTTCGAGTCCCACTCAATATGAATTCCATTTCCGACAATATCTACTGTATTTCCTCAAATAGACAGAACCGTCAAAGGGTCCCCAAGCAATTTAATTTTTTCGGGGCCCTGTTCAACTAAGAAAAAAAAAGTCAGAACAAAAGGCAGAAACTGAAGAAAGAATTAAACTTATATATCATTAATATATATAATTTTTAGTATATCGTTTACATCACAACTTTTTCCGACTCTTCTCAGCCGCGAACTGCCCAATCACATTATCAAAAGACAATTTCTGCAAAATAATAATAATAATAATAATAAACAGAAGTATTCCGACGGGTTTCTCTCAACACGGGGCCTCGAGTAATCGATTGTTTTTCTTCCTGGTAAATCCGCCATTGCGTATTGATATCAGCAAAAAGTTAATTAACAGACAATAAAAAATTACGCGATATTTAAAAATTATTTCATATAATAAATTTTTATGTTACTTTTTGATATTTTAATACAATCTTTTTCTTTCCTATTTTAAACGAATACATTACTTCTAAATTTATTTGTTAATAATATAAAATTTAAATTTTCATAAAATTACAAAACGAAAGGTGGCGTTGATGTAGAAAATGGCGGATACAGAGTTGGAAGCGTTGCGTGCTAAACGTCTAGCAGAACTCCAGCAGCAATATGCAGTTAATTTGAGATAAATTTTAATATGATATATTTAGAAAATAAACTTCACTCTTCTTAAATGGCATCTATTTGTATTTTTAGGGAAATCAAGGATCTCGACAGAACGAAGAAGAAGAGAGAAAAATTAAAGAAGAAGAATTCAGAAATCACGTTCTAACTCAAGTCTTAACTCAAGAAGCCAGAGCAAGATGTAAGCAGTTCTTCTATGTAAAATTAATTAAGCATTTTAGTGACTTTAATACAGAATAGTTGAGAAATTCTATTATTTAGTATGAAGATTTATGTTACATATCAGAATTAATTAATTATATTTTCAATTACAATCATAAGCAACATTCTTTTAATGTTGGAAAAATAATTTGAGCTTATAACTTAAAATATGTAAACTCTATTTTAAATTGTTATAAATCATAAGTCAATAGATAAAACAAAGTACAATGTGAATAAAATGAAAAATTTGTCACTATTTATTTTTGATAGGGTTTTTAAAAGTTTACAACAATTACTAACGATTGTTTTGGAAAAACATTGATACTAAATTAGCAACTGCTTTCAACTCTAAAATGGTTCTGTTGGCAACCTGTCAAAAGTTATAACAACTATTACATCTAAGTATCAATACATCTGCTTCAGTTTACATAATTTATGAATTTTGTAATTCCAAATTTATTATTAATATGAAATTCTATAGCCATTATAATTTTATGAATATATTTTTGAAGATTAGGAATAATTTTTCCCTGAAAATATCTTGATTATAAGGGAGTTGTTAATATGCTGAATAATAATGATATTTCTTCAGTTTATAAACTGCAATGAAGGAGATTTTTAAATTATTTCAAATATTTGGTTTTAGATATTTGAAAATATTCTTATAACAAAAACTATTTAAGATACAAAATTAAATTCATTAATAAACATTGACAGTCTTAAAAAATATAGTAAAACTTATGAAAGGAGGAATCTTTTTCTTGTCAACTGTCAAAGACAGAAACTCAAATAAGTATTGAATTGAAAAGCCTACACAAAAACTTTAGAAATGAAATAAAATCTATATTTATTTTAAATTTACAATGATAGATTTGATGAAATAGTTTAGTTAAATAATAAACCTAAATCTGTTTTTACATTCTTTGGTTTATCATGTCCAAACAATCTGTGTAAAAAAAATACTGTTTGTATGGAAAAATAGAAGATTTGCTTCAGACCTTAAAAACTAGAGAAATATTATGATAAACCAATTAATATAATAGGATGTGTTAACACAAAATAATCAATTTTAGTTAATAAATCAGAAGAAAGACTTATAACTTATTTATCAGTATATATAACATATTTAATAAACTTGTATTTGCACAAATTCTGTTTTTTTATTTGACTTTTGTAATTAAACTCAAAATACTTCTAGATTTTAACATCAAAGAGCATACAAAAACTATTCTGTACTGAAAGAAATCAGAAAAAGTGTAATTATTCTAACAAATCATAAAACTTCAAATTAATTTTTTACTGACTGCCTCAATTGTGGAATAAGGTTAGAGTGAAAGACTGTTTGTTGCTACATGTGTTTAAACAACTCATAAAAAAAGTCAAATCAATTTGGCAGCTGATTAAGATGTTAGTTTACCACTCTGAAGTCCCAGAACTGAATTTGTATTAAATAATTTTTTTTTTTGTATTTTGAATGTCTTTTTAGTTTTAGTCTAAAAGTTACTACTTTTATTAATGTATGTCGTTTACTATCTCAACCAACTGGTGTGCCCGTATTAATCACTTAAGAACCACAGTAAAATTGACCTATTTTCTCGGAGTCGAATAACCTTAACTCTAATAACCCTGTCTATACTATTCAATCTCATTGAGAGTTAATTCCTCTCGTTTATGGATGTAATTGTGGTCGATTATACAGTTTACGATATGCTGATGCCCGGAATTAATTAATCAATCAATCAATTCGCAAGACATACCGTCCGTTATCCCGCTGTCTGATTTTTCTAAATAGATAAGAAATTAATAAAAAAAATTAAAAAATAATAAAAACATATTGTTGCATGAGAATTAAATTTTCATTAAGAAACTTAAAGTTCGAGTCCCACTCAATATGAATTCCATTTCCGACAATATCTACTGTATTTCCTCAAATAGACAGAACCGTCAAAGGGTCCCCAAGCAATTTAATTTTTTCGGGGCCCTGTTCAACTAAGAAAAAAAAAGTCAGAACAAAAGGCAGAAACTGAAGAAAGAATTAAACTTATATATCATTAATATATATAATTTTTAGTATATCGTTTACATCACAACTTTTTCCGACTCTTCTCAGCCGCGAACTGCCCAATCACATTATCAAAAGACAATTTCTGCAAAATAATAATAATAATAATAATAAACAGAAGTATTCCGACGGGTTTCTCTCAACACGGGGCCTCGAGTAATCGATTGTTTTTCTTCCTGGTAAATCCGCCATTGCGTATTGATATCAGCAAAAAGTTAATTAACAGACAATAAAAAATTACGCGATATTTAAAAATTATTTCATATAATAAATTTTTATGTTACTTTTTGATATTTTAATACAATCTTTTTCTTTCCTATTTTAAACGAATACATTACTTCTAAATTTATTTGTTAATAATATAAAATTTAAATTTTCATAAAATTACAAAACGAAAGGTGGCGTTGATGTAGAAAATGGCGGATACAGAGTTGGAAGCGTTGCGTGCTAAACGTCTAGCAGAACTCCAGCAGCAATATGCAGTTAATTTGAGATAAATTTTAATATGATATATTTAGAAAATAAACTTCACTCTTCTTAAATGGCATCTATTTGTATTTTTAGGGAAATCAAGGATCTCGACAGAACGAAGAAGAAGAGAGAAAAATTAAAGAAGAAGAATTCAGAAATCACGTTCTAACTCAAGTCTTAACTCAAGAAGCCAGAGCAAGATGTAAGCAGTTCTTCTATGTAAAATTAATTAAGCATTTTAGTGACTTTAATACAGAATAGTTGAGAAATTCTATTATTTAGTATGAAGATTTATGTTACATATCAGAATTAATTAATTATATTTTCAATTACAATCATAAGCAACATTCTTTTAATGTTGGAAAAATAATTTGAGCTTATAACTTAAAATATGTAAACTCTATTTTAAATTGTTATAAATCATAAGTCAATAGATAAAACAAAGTACAATGTGAATAAAATGAAAAATTTGTCACTATTTATTTTTGATAGGGTTTTTAAAAGTTTACAACAATTACTAACGATTGTTTTGGAAAAACATTGATACTAAATTAGCAACTGCTTTCAACTCTAAAATGGTTCTGTTGGCAACCTGTCAAAAGTTATAACAACTATTACATCTAAGTATCAATACATCTGCTTCAGTTTACATAATTTATGAATTTTGTAATTCCAAATTTATTATTAATATGAAATTCTATAGCCATTATAATTTTATGAATATATTTTTGAAGATTAGGAATAATTTTTCCCTGAAAATATCTTGATTATAAGGGAGTTGTTAATATGCTGAATAATAATGATATTTCTTCAGTTTATAAACTGCAATGAAGGAGATTTTTAAATTATTTCAAATATTTGGTTTTAGATATTTGAAAATGTTCTTATAACAAAAACTATTTAAGATACAAAATTAAATTCATTAATAAACATTGACAGTCTTAAAAAATATAGTAAAACTTATGAAAGGAGGAATCTTTTTCTTGTCAACTGTCAAAGACAGAAACTCAAATAAGTATTGAATTGAAAAGCCTACACAAAAACTTTAGAAATGAAATAAAATCTATATTTATTTTAAATTTACAATGATAGATTTGATGAAATAGTTTAGTTAAATAATAAACCTAAATCTGTTTTTACATTCTTTGGTTTATCATGTCCAAACAATCTGTGTAAAAAAAATACTGTTTGTATGGAAAAATAGAAGATTTGCTTCAGACCTTAAAAACTAGAGAAATATTATGATAAACCAATTAATATAATAGGATGTGTTAACACAAAATAATCAATTTTAGTTAATAAATCAGAAGAAAGACTTATAACTTATTTATCAGTATATATAACATATTTAATAAACTTGTATTTGCACAAATTCTGTTTTTTTATTTGACTTTTGTAATTAAACTCAAAATACTTCTAGATTTTAACATCAAAGAGCATACAAAAACTATTCTGTACTGAAAGAAATCAGAAAAAGTGTAATTATTCTAACAAATCATAAAACTTCAAATTAATTTTTTACTGACTGCCTCAATTGTGGAATAAGGTTAGAGTGAAAGACTGTTTGTTGCTACATGTGTTTAAACAACTCATAAAAAAAGTCAAATCAATTTGGCAGCTGATTAAGATGTTAGTTTACCACTCTGAAGTCCCAGAACTGAATTTGTATGGTCAAAGAACCTCAGTAATATTTCAGAGTATAGTCTTNCTCAAATTAGTAGTGGCTTGTCCTTGTATATCATACTTTTCCTTTAACGGTCATCTATCTAACACCATTCGGAGAAAAATTTTCAATTAAAATAACATGAATTCTGGTTTACACCAGAAGTTCTTATATAGTTAATCGGGGCCTCCTATCCCTAAGGTTTCCATAACTGGTTTCGAGTTTCATTTATCTAATTTCGTTCTCGAGATTAAGGAAAGAATGACAGACGGACGGACGACAGTGGAAATTTATAGGTCTACAATTTTTTCAGATTACAGCCCAATATACTGACGTATGTTTTTGTATGAATTATAGATGTACTTTTCCATATTTTATAAATTTAGTTGCCACTTTTACAAACTGTCTATTGCACTTATATATATTCTAATATTTTAATTAAACTTTTATTCAATCATTTATAATACTTTATAAAATCATACCTGTTCATTATTTAATGTACTACGATAATAATGCAAAAGCTATATTAAGTTGATTGCTTGTTGGTTTACCATATAATTCTTCATTTTCAGGAAACTAATTTTTTGTTTTTATGTTAAAATTAAATGTTTTTGGACATGAAAGGGTACAACATTTTTTTTTTAATTAACTAAATAGAATTTAAGAGAAAAAATATAAAAAAAAGCTAAACATTAATTAGTTATATATTTTATACATAAATATAAAATTTACTGTACTATATATACTTTACATAGATGTATAATATAATGGTAAAAATAGTGCTTTATTAAAGGTTTTAATAAACATTATTATAATTACAGTTAATATAGCTATTTAATCTGCCTTTTCGTGATGCAAAGTAATTATAAATGTATAAATCCAATCAGTCAAGAATCTGCTTGTAACTTTTATAATGATTTCACTTATCACTATGCTATCAGCAATTATAAATACAGCATAAATTAATTAAGCCTGTAATTGCTTAATTAATTTATGCTGTATTTATTAAATTGAAAGTATATAAATATCCAGTACCTAAAATAAGATTTGTGCGCTAAGTATTGTTTGGATCCGTATTTTTCAACCTATTTTGCTAAGATAATAAAAGATCATCCAATACTTTTGTGTATTTAGAGACGTAAATTTATATATAAAAATTTAAAGTTTGATATTTTTAAGAGGTTCAAGTCAATTTTTCCTTCATTTTATATTGAATTTAGAGATTCTAGCGACATCTCTGAACGATTTGACACAATTTACACGATAGTTTTCTTAAAAGTTCTAAACTTCCACTTAATGCTGATTTCAATGCTCTCATAAAATTTCTCTAATATCCATTAATATATTTAAGTAGCAATTCTATAAAATTCTATATCTATACGATCAAAATATACCTAACTCGTTAACAGTTTTTTAATTTAAATTTTGGATTTTTCTAAGTGTTTATAAGCGAATGTTCGATAGCAAATTAATTAAATTACAACAAAAATGATTTTTGTAAACTCCATCAATTTATTAATGAGACAGAACGGCATAAAATATGGTTACAGAAAAGAAAATATTTTAAATAGACCTATATGTTTTTTTTTTTATATCGTTACATTATAAATATTTAAAATATTCAGATTCAATCGTATTTGATATCTTTAAATTAGGATCAATAAAGAACACTTTATAGCGATTTTATTTTAATTTAACGTGATGACCTTGTTAATTAATCAAATTAAAATTTTATTTACAGATAAATATAGTAAGTTAGCGATACATTTCTTAAATTATTGAGTGAAAAACATCATTATATTATTTTAATGCTCAAAATATAAGATATTATTTTCTTATATTACTATCATAAAAATAGTTTTTGCCATATAAAATATATATAACTTTTAAGATTTCAATTTGTGGGCGCCAGACTAACATTAAGGAGCAGGATAGCCGGATGGTCTAGGTGGTTAAGGAGTCTGTCTACTAGTTTGAGTAACTCCGATTCGAATGTAGGAGAGTAATTAGGCTACCATGAATTTTCATGAGCTGCTGACATGATGATGCTTTTACTTATCCTAGTTGCATTTTAAAAATGCAATCAGGATAAGCAAAAGTATCGCTATGATTAGTCAAAATTTGTCACGACCGAACTGCCATTGAAGAGTGCTAAAACTTAATTGTTAAACATGCCCAACAGTGGCCGAGTGAATAAAAGCAATGAACCTGTCCGTGGGCTGTGAACAACCCTGAATTATCCGGGTTTTCTTCAAACGTCTAAAACCTAAATAGGGACCAGTTTCGTATAAAAAAGTCCTCCCATGAGAACGTTCTGTGATGTTTAATATAAAATTATTATGTAAAAATTTTGACGAAGTGTCTTCCAACAGTAGCCTACAGAGAAGGGTACGTTATGAGAAGTGACTTAGTCAATTGTGGAACTTTTCGTCATTGAGTGAACATTTTATATCGTTCCTTGAAACTTTTTAAGAAATTAAAATGTGACGAGCTCCTGTTTTTACAATTTATAAGAAATTTGTAAATGATTATCTTTTTTAATGGTTTAATTGACAAACATTTTCCAAAATTTTACATTTAAAATTAAAACTAAATTTTTGTAATATTTTGTATATTTAATATACACAAACTTCCATACATTCAATTTTACTTTTATAATTATGTACTGTACATAAAACTGACAAAACAAAAGCTGGATCAGTCATGTAATATTCAAAACATTTTAGCATTTTTACAGAAATACAAAAATTTATGAATTAATTTCCGGAAGAATGGCTTTTAATTTACCGTTTCTTTTTTTAAATCAGGTTGTATCTTCCAATATTTTTTCATAATTGTATATTTTCTTATAAAATAAATGTCTATCCACTTTCTCCGGTATTTAAATTTAAAAGCAAATTACATCAATGCCGGGCTGAAATTTTAATCCTATTTTTAATTAATTTAATTTAAAATATATGTTCTCCATCTCAAATTAGTAGTGGCTTGTCCTTGTATATCATACTTTTCCTTTAACGGTCATCTATCTAACACCATTCGGAGAAAAATTTTCAATTAAAATAACATGAATTCTGGTTTACACCAGAAGTTCTTATATAGTTAATCGGGGCCTCCTATCCCTAAGGTTTCCATAACTGGTTTCGAGTTTCATTTATCTAATTTCGTTCTCGAGATTAAGGAAAGAATGACAGACGGACGGACGACAGTGGAAATTTATAGGTCTACAATTTTTTCAGATTACAGCCCAATATACTGACGTATGTTTTTGTATGAATTATAGATGTACTTTTCCATATTTTATAAATTTAGTTGCCACTTTTACAAACTGTCTATTGCACTTATATATATTCTAATATTTTAATTAAACTTTTATTCAATCATTTATAATACTTTATAAAATCATACCTGTTCATTATTTAATGTACTACGATAATAATGCAAAAGCTATATTAAGTTGATTGCTTGTTGGTTTACCATATAATTCTTCATTTTCAGGAAACTAATTTTTTGTTTTTATGTTAAAATTAAATGTTTTTGGACATGAAAGGGTACAACATTTTTTTTTTAATTAACTAAATAGAATTTAAGAGAAAAAATA